TACCTCTGCGTCACGCACGACATGGTGCTGTGCCTGCGGGACACCGGCAACATCCCGTGGTGGCTGCGCCAGCAGGACCTGAACGAGCTGCACTACAGCACCGCCCCGGGCGGGGAGGCCTTCGTCGCGTTCTGGTCGGACACGCCGGGGCGGGGGATGGTCTTTAGCCCCCGCGCCCCGGCCTACGGCCCGCGCGCGATCGCCGCGCACGACCCGGGCTTTGAGGTGCTGCGAATCGTCCGGGTCATGAACGACGTCTGCTTCGCCTCCCTCGACGTTCGCCGGGCGATTCAGATTCGGGAGGTCGGTGACGCCTCCGCCGCGGCTTACCTGCGGCGCCGGGAGATGGAAAGTCAATCCGGGCAATCAGACCAGGTCGGCGAACGAATGCGGTCTTTTCGGGCGGAAAACGGCGAGCGAACTCCCTCGCAGGGCGCCCTGAGCTGCCCGTTGCCGAAGGAGCAGTTGGCGAACGTGTGGATGCAGGTCCAGGAGGAGCTCCGCGCGCGCTGCGAGGTCGCGCAGAATGCGGCGATCCCGATCACTGAGCGCAATGCCCGGGCGGTCTGCCTTTCACGCGAGCAGATCCACTTTTTGGCCTCGCAGCTGGAGGAGGAGCGGGAGGGGCTGGACGACATCGTCGGTATGCCGCTCGAGCGGGCCCAGCGGATGCGCCCGACGGAAGGCGGCGGGGGGCTGGGTTTGGCGACGCCGCAGTTCTTCGACGGTTTCCGAGAAGGGAACTCCTCTCAACAACTCTCGACCGGGGGAAGTGCGAGCGATGGGTCGAGCTACCACACGCCCGGGGCGCGATACCTCACCCCGATGGATAACGGCGAAGATGAAAAAGACTCTGCGGGCAACTGCGGGGGAGAGCCGACGGTGAATGCGATTATTGATGAAAGTATGCTTGCTATGAAGAAAAAGTAACCCTTCCCGAAGGGGATTTTACTTTCTATTATTATTATTGTTAGTCTCATGGAGTACAAAACTCTGTGCGATACGAACGATAGGTTCTTTTTTCTGGTTGAGATTGAAAAATGTCCAGCTGCTTAACATTTTTAGAGGTCATACCACTACTACATTCAGGGTAGGGGGGTGAGGTTGGCAAATAGAAATCTGAAAGTATATATAGATACATATAAATAAATATATATATATATATATATGTATATAATGTGTGTGTGTGTGCTTTATTTGCCCCTGCTTAATGTCAATTACATTCTGTGATTATGATAAGGAAGCGGAATGAAAAAATATCAAAATGACAGTAATTGTGGGAGAGGAAGGCACTTTATTACACGTTGGGTTAATCGCCTTCCGTCACCTACTCACCAACCTTTACTCATCCTTTAGGTATAGGTATGATTTCACTTATAAAATTATTTACTAGCTTTTTTTATCATGAAATTATAACATTCTTTATATATTAGCAAGACGTTATAAAAAGGAAAAAGATTTTTTGAAATTCCCTTATACGTTCAATTAAAATCGGTAGGTAATATTAGAAATAATAATTCTCTGTTCTCTTTTAAAACCTTCTAGTCAGTGTTTATGGCATGTTGAAACAATAGTGGTGCTTTTATTTAAATTGAAATAAACCATGAAGGGCATGATTAATAAATAAATAAGTATATATATAGAACAAAAACTAATTTTATGATTGGAAACGCCTTTTTAAGCAAAAAATCTATATATTCAAAGTGCAAACTTGGATTGCTATATGCAAATACGTATATAATTTTACTTTACTCTTAGAATATTGCCAAACGATAATAAATGGCGGCTAACAAACGCGGTTTAGTTTCTTTATCGTCTTGGACTATTTTCATCATGTGAAAACGGTAGTAATGTACCCTTCTTACAATCTAATTCATTTTCCAATTTTTCTCTGGACAACAAATCGCGTTGCATCTGACTACAAATGAATTCATACCACATTAACACAAAGTGAACTATCAAGTTCATACATCCTAATATGCTTAGTTGGGTTTTACTATCATGCGAAGACTTTTGCACGCTTCAGGGCGGGAGGGAATTCATTTAGCGGCTTTTTTACGCCCGCGTCTTTACAGCACTCCTGGGAAAGTGAAAATCATTGCCAAGGATTCGACTGGCGCACGCAATGACTTTGAAGCTCCTGTGGGAGTTTCGTTATTGGAGGCGGTGCGGGATATTGCCGGGCTGTCCTTGGATGGCACCTGTGATGGCTGCATGCAGTGTTCGACCTGTCATGTTTATGTTGGAGAGAAGTGGCTGAAAAAGCTCCCGCCGCCCTCGGAAAGGGAGTTAGATCTGATCGATAGAGTCCCGAAGCCGAAGGATGAATCTCGCCTGGCATGCCAAATTACTCTACGAGCGGACTATGATGGACTTGAGATTGATTTACCGAACGAGGTTATTGATTTTATGTTGACCTGATCATTAAGGGAGAAGTACAATAATGGGGATGGGAGGGGAGAAAGTCTTTATGCTTACAAATGGTATTACACCCCAAAAAAATAAGGCCATGCTGGTGACGATTTCAGGAAGGGTTGGCTTTCCTTCTAGGGAATCCTTTGAAACACTCTTGAGGTTAAATGGCAAAAGTGAAAGGCCGTTGGAAAATCTCAAAAGGGGGGAAGCCTCCGCTAATGATCTCACGTGCAAGAATTTCAATTTCTTTTTCTGAAGGAGTTGATCTGTACTCCTGAGCTTTTTTTTCCAGTAGGTTTGGATTGAGTTCTTTTTTGAATGCACTGCGCACATAAATATTCTCTCAATCGATTACAGACTCTTCAAAGTTCATATTTTTGGAATGAAAAAAATACGTCTGAGGGCGTATACCCCATGAGGTGTTTCACCTTAGTTGAGTATCCTAATGCCTTGACATGAACAAAAAAAAAGGGGAGGGAAGTGAAAATTCATACCCAACTTTTTACACATTTCTCACTCACACTCATCGGTGTGGAAAGACCTCCACAGATACGCCCTTTAAATAACCTTAGGTATATGCCATCTTAAAAAAAACATAGGGGTAGATACAATCTCACAAATAGATCCTTTTGTAAACACTAGCAGCTTACACAGCCATTGGGACTTACACCGAGGATATATGTTTCGGATGAAAGTGCAATGCAGTATAATTTTATCCTAATGTCGATTTATATATTCTCTTGCTTGAAGAACACACGCGAAAAAAAATAGCTTGCAGAATTTCTGATAGTGGAAAGGATGTGAGGAACCTGAATAAAACGTAATTTTGTTGATATATAAATATGATAGTTTCTATCAAAGAAATTTACATTAGTCATTGCATAATCCTTATTCTTTTACGTGATTATCAACAACTCTATCCTCGAATCTCGGCGCTGATTAACCTTTTAGTATGATGCAACTCCTTTCTTTATAGCTTCTCTTCCTTTTGACATTCTCTCATCAATCATTAGGAACGTTTTATTTTCTAGGAACTTCGTAAAATTCGAAAATAAGCCTTACGTTCATATATAAATAGACCACTTTAAAAGGTGAGGAACACAAACTAAAGTAGAATATCCTTTTCTTTACTTTTCTTAGCGTTATCGAAGTTTCTTTTTTTTTCCATTTATAGACACACGTTTTTTTAGATACACTATAGGCTTTTGGAATATCCTTAATTATTTTTATTGGTTTTGTGTAGATCCACACTAGAAGGAATATATATTCCGCTCCATTTTATTATTTTTATTTTTATCTACATTATTATCACTTAACAGGTCCTGGCTGTGCACATACGCTTTAGCTGTTGTGTAGAATCCTTGCCTGCTCCTCCTACCTGCTGAATTACTCTCCATTATATACAAAGTCATTAGCAGCGCTAAGCACAGTTTTTTTTTTATTATTCCTGGAAAAGCTTAGAATTTGACATAACACCATTCAAGGAAAAATTGTAAAGGAGGAAACGACTGACAAAAAAAGCCGTCCACGTAAATCATGCTCCGGATGGTTCAACAAGCAGGAAGTGGCGGGCTGATCCCGCGCGCTCCCACGGTCCAGTCACCCCCGTCCAAGCCGTCTTTTCAGGCGGGAACGCACATTCTCGAGTTGGATCCTGATACTGGCCGTCTTCTCAGCGACTTCCGCGTCATTCGTCTGCTCGGAAAAGGGGGCTTTGCGAAGTGTTATGAAGTCACCGATGGCAAAGGAAGCTACGCGCTCAAGGTGATTAGCCGCGCCCTTCTGACGAAGCCTAAAACCCTGCAAAAGCTCCACAGTGAGATCATCATCCACCGTCGCATGAAACATGAAAATATTGTCCGCTTCATCCACACCTTCAAGGATGATCACTACGTTTACATTTTATTAGAAAAGTGTGAAAACGGGACGCTGATGGATCTGCTGAAAGTCCGAACGTTGACGGTACCGGAGACGCAGTACGTGATGCTGCAGAGCCTCTCCGCGATGGAGTACATGCACGAGGAGAGTGTGATCCATCGCGACCTCAAACCCGGGAACATCATGCTGGACGAGAATTTAACGGTCAAGATCGGGGATTTCGGCCTTGCGGCGGAGTTATTCTACGACGGTGAGCGCAAGCGGACGGTTTGCGGGACGCCGAATTATATCGCGCCGGAGATCATCGACCGCAAGGGCCGCGGGCACAGCTTCGAGGCCGACGTCTGGTCGCTTGGCGTGGTGCTCTTCACGCTGCTGGTCGGCCGCCCTCCCTTCCAGATGGACGACATCGACGCGACCTACCGCCGGATCCGGACCTG